GCTCGAGGAGGGCGAGCTTCACAGAGGGTCCGCCGAGGTCCCGCTGAGGGAGCTCGAAGTTTGGCGGAGCTCCTCCGCTCGTAGAGGGCGAGCCAGCCAGAGTACACGTCGACGTCCTCGATGTGCGAGCCGGCGCGCGGCGGCCGCAGCGGGCGCCACGAGGACCGAGCCGAAGGCAGGTCCGACACGGAGACGGTGGCGAGGCCGAGGCCGCCGCCGCCCTCACCGCCGCAACCCTCGCCCCCACTGCTGCTGCCGCTGCTGCCGCCGGCGGCACCGCCGCCAACGCTGCCGCCAACGCTGCCGCCACCGCTGCCGCCGCCATCTCCGGCTCCACGGCCGCCGCCACTTCCTCCGCCGCCACTTCCTCCGCCGCCACTTCCTCCGCCGGCGCGTGCAGATCTGCTGATGACGAGGAGGCAGTTTGGCGCGAGCCCTTCCACGAAATAGTGCACGCCCGCCTCGCGCGGTGCGACGAGGCGCGGCGTCGCCCCCCGCGCCTCTGTCGCCGGCAGCAGCCGCACCTGCAGGAGGGCTCCGAGAAGTGTCCGAGAAGGCTGCCGGTTGGCTCTGCGAGCGCCTCATGACGGCCGCGGCTCCGCCTCGGACGAGTCTCGCGAGTGGGAGGAGATGGCGAGCCACGCGCCGTCCTTTGTGGTCGAGAGGGAGAGAGAGCAGCTCTCCTCCTCCTCCTCCACCAGCAGCACGTCCTGGCGGGACGGGTTGGCGCCTCAAGCGAGCGAGCGAGCGAGCGAGAGAGAGAGAGAGAGAGAGAAGAGGGAGAGAAGAGGGAGAGAGAGAAGAGGGAGAGGTCGAAGGGAAAGGGCGAGAGAGAGAGATGCAGAGGTAGGCCGGCGCCTCGGTGTGGTGAGAGCCGATAGTGTGCAGCAGCGCGCGTGCCGGACGGCCGCGCCCGTCGCGCGCCGTGTACGCGAGCGCCTCGCCGCCGTCCACCCACTCAAGCGAGTCGACGCCTGCTGACAGCCCAGAGCAGTGAAGAGAGGCTTGCCCTCGCAGCTCAACCACCCAGCTGTAGCGAGGTGACACCGCGCAGCGTGGACGCCGGCAGCGGCGGCGGGCCGCTGCTCTGCCACCCGCCGACGAGCCAGCGGCCGATGCTGCCGATCAGACCGCTGCTGCCGATCAGACCGCTGTCGTGGCCGCCGTCGGAGGCCGCTTCTGCAATCACGAGCCTCCACTCCTCGCTTCCCTCGAGGTCGAGCGTGTATGCGAAGCGGCGACCGTCGGGGCTGCCTGCAAAGGCGCCCACCGCCGCGTACCCATGCGAGTCCGCGAGAGCACTGAGGTCCAGCAGCACTTGCTCCTGAAAGCTGGCGCCGCCCATCGGGCGACGGCATATGAGAGGCAAGTCGCGACGCGCCGGCGTGCGCGAGTAGTACTCCCAGCCACCCGCCTCGCCGGAGTGACCCTCGTCCGACTCGGGCAGCGCGCCCGCCATCTCGGCACGCAGTGCATGGCGGAGGTCGCTGGACGGCTCGAGCAGCAGCCGGCGGACACGCTCGTTCTCTTCCCGCAGCAGCAGCTTGTGGACGAAGCCAGCTGAGTCCGCGAAGTCGTGGCCGCCTCGTCGGCCGACGTGCTGGCCGCAAGCTGCCATGACCTTTGCGCCGGCCAAGCGGCTCCTCCGAAGCGTCGTGCTCCTCAGCCGACTCATTGGCCGACGTTGATCCGAGCTAGCAGAGCACGGACGTTCACACGGCGAGTGTGCTTCGCAAGGAGGGTCCGGGGCTCACAGCAACAGAGCCCGGAGCCGCTGAGCTCGTGCAGAGAGGGCGCAGGAGCGCGCAGCGCGCAGGAGCGCGCGTGAAGAGCTTCTCGTCGCGGCAGGAAGCGTCGTGTTTTTCTTCTTCCTTGTTGGCGATAGATTTTTTTGTTTTGAATGAACGCGCCAAACAAGTAAAAAAACAAGTTGACCCCACCCATATAGCTCTCGCGGAGGAGCAAAGGACGCCCGATTAGCGCTGCGCGCGGCCGGGCAAAAAAACAAGTTGACCGCCGACATTGACGCGCGACAAGCCAAAGGACCAATGCATCTGCGCGAGAGGTGCGCCGGGCTGGACGAAGTGTGGCTGATCGTGCACTTCTCGGAGTGGTTCAGGCCGGGGCCGACGGATATCGTCCACTCGAAAGTGACGGAGACGCTCGGCTTGAGGGGGCTGCGCTACGTCAGCTTTGAGCAGGCTGCCGCCGCCGTGCAGGGTCCTCGCGCGCGGCGCAGGACAACCCGCGTCACGGGGCAGAGCACCATGTGCTGAAAAAGTGGGTCGCCATCATGGGGCACGAGCCGCTCCCGGAGCGGCTGGAGGAGATGCGAGGGAAGGGAGGGGACAGGCAGGTGTGTGAGTGCGTAGGAAAGAGGAGACACACTCGTTGTGCTTGTGGGAGGAGTGCATCGTTAGGTCTGCGGGGGCCGGGGGCTGCGCTCCGTCGTCTATCCTCGCTGTAGTCTGGCTGTAGTGACTAGTGTCTAGTGACCCGTGTCATGCGTTTAGGGCCGTACAAATTATTTTCACTAGCTGCAGTGGCTGGGTGCTCCTGCTACATGCACTCTCAAAATGAACTCGGGGGCACTCCCACATGTATGCATGCACTGCACATGACATGAACATGAACATGAACATGAACACGAACATGAACATGAACATGAACATGAACATGAACATGAACATGAACATGAACATGAACATGAACATGAACATGAACACGAACATGAACATGAACATGAACACGAACATGAACATGAACATGAACATGAACATGAACATGAACATGAACATGGACATGAACATGAACATGAACATGAACATGAACATGACATGAACATGACATGAACATGAACATGTACATGACATGAACATGAACATGAACATGAACATGAACATGACATGAACATGACATGCACATGCACATGCGCATGTTGTTGTCATGTTTTGTTGTTGTCATGGTTGTTGCACATGCACCCACGGAAGGGGGGGGGTCTGTGCTGTGCCTCTGCCACCTTCCAGGGCGCCTTCCGCCCGCCGGCACGCCTTTCCCCTTTCCTGACCACCTGACGCACAATCGCACCACCTATTTCGGGCGCTGAGTTATGACCGCACAAAGGTTCTCGAGGCGACCCTGGCTGGCGATGCCGCCAACGTCAACAAGCATGGCGCCGCAATAATTGGGACAAGAAGCACGGCCGCCATGGGTGTGCCAGTGTCGCGTAGGTCGCCCTGGCCCCGCGCCTTTGCCGCGGAGCTCAACTCGTCCTATAGTGCTGCGCTGTATGGCAGTGCCGGCCGCGTGCCTGCCAACCTGCGTGTGGTGTGGCCCTCTCTCCTTTCCGAGCGCGCCCGACTCTCGCTCAACGGCGCCGTCGCCTGCCACGCTTCCTCCTCGCGCCATCCGCCAAACGCGCTCTATTTCGGCGACGGCGCGATCCAGCACCAGCAGACGGCGCTCTGGGTACACCAGCCTGGCGACCTGCCGTTTGCTCCCAGCGGGTCGTCCGTCGAGGTAACGCACTGCGCCTATTCCGGCGCAAGAGGTGGCGATGATGTCCGCCCTTCCCGCTCGCCAATGTGGTTTCACATGATGCCGGGCTCGGGCATCACTGTGGAGGCGCTAGACACTTCCCGAGGCGCCTCAGAGACGCTCCGAAGCCAGACGTGCTGCGCATAGGTTGGCCGGACGCTTCTCGCGAGTCCGCAGACATTCGGCCACGCCCGCTCAAAGCACATGCACGCGGCGCTCGTCTCGGGAGACTTTCGCTCCTTCCACCGGCTGCTCCGTAACCTGACCGAGGCGGAGGAGGACGCGGCGGAGGTGCGCTGCTGGCGGGAGGCTCGTCCGCAGCGGCGCGGCTGCTTCCCGGCACCGCTAAGCGCGTGAGCACTCGGCCGAGTGGAGGCGCCGTTCCCATCCTCGAGCTCTGAACAGGCGCTGCTCGCGTATGACTCGGTGCAGTTCCCCGGTTGGCGCCGCCGCTGCTTCCCTGCGCCAGGCTGCTCCTCCTCGGAGCTCGTGATGCTGGCGTGGCGAGACCTAGCCGAGACGTGGCCGAGATGAGGCCGAGAGAGGAGAAGTCGAGCGTGAGTGAGCGGTTTGCGACGTAGGGGCCTCGAGGTGCAGTTCGTGACCGAGCAGCTGGCACCTCTCTCTCCCGGGAGTAAAGCACCACCTCGGCACGGCCAGCGCGAAACCCGGTCGGATCGCGATAGGACCACGTCCGCTGCGGGAGCGCGCCGCACGCGCTGCGGCGGTGCACGCCGACGGACGCTCCGGTGCGGCAGCAGGGCCCTTCGTGCTTGCGCGCGGCGAGGCGGCTGCCCATTCGCTTTTGGCATAGCCGCGACCGTAGACGAGTGTTAGACGCGCGCCGTGGCTGCACAGGCGGCTGCCAGCCCTGCTCGCCGTCAAGCGGGGCAACAGGTGCAGTCTGCCGGTCCCGCTTGAGCCAGGAACTTTTGGTGACCGGTTCGAGCGACGCGCCGACGCCGAGGCGGCGCGGCTGAGACGCGCGCTCGGCGACGCCGTCGCTGCGGTGGAGGCCGACCACGCGCTGAATCCCATCCTCCGGCCGGATGGGTCCTTTTTCGTGCCCGCATCGCCTCAGCCTCAATTAATTTAAGACAATGGGGCCGCAGTTGTGTTGCGCGTCTCATCGATGTTGTAAGGAGCAGGGCGGGGGGGGGGGTTGGGCTTGGGGGGGGGCGGTCCTTCAGGTTCGGAAAGGTAGAAAGGTGAAGAACAGTCTCAGTCAAGCGGTCCTTTATGCTTTAAAACCTAGAGGTCCTTTTCCAAGGCTCCGACAGGTTCGGCACCGGGCCCAGGTCCGACCTGCGGGCACCGCCTGCGGCACCGGGCACACCGACTAGGTAGGTAGGTAGAAAGGTGAAGAACAGCCAGGCTCGGACTGGACACCAACCCGGTATGGGTGGACGCCGGACAGATGATGACGACTCGGTATACAAAATAAAGAAAACTGCCGCCGCTGTCACTCAGGCCCAGGCACGAGAGGGTGAGTGCGCAGCAAGCAGCACGCACAGCCTCCCTCCCGATCCCCGTCCCCGCAGCCGCTCTGGCCAACCCATGCCGTGCGCCGCCCTCCGCCACGCGCCCATGTAGGGCTCTCCTGTGGCCCGCCGTTCATCTCTGGCCGCCTCATTCCCTACATCCTGTCCCGCACGCAGGCATCATGTCGTACGGCGGTGACAGCTACGGCAGCTTCGGCGGGGGCGGCGGCGGCGGCGGCGGCTACGGCGGCGGCGGCGGCAGCTACGGCGGCGGCGCCGATTACGGCGGCGGCGGCCAGAGGGACCGCTCGCGCTCCCCGCGCGCCGACCGTGGCGGAGACGGCAAGGAGACTGGCACCGCCCTGCGGTGGAACGAGAAGGGGTTCGGGTTCATCAAGCCGGACGACGGCGGCGAGGACATCTTTTGCCATTTCTCCTCCATCCTCGACGGCAAGAAGCTCCTCGAGGGCACCAAGGCGGCCGCCCCGGCTGCGCTGCTCCCCTCCCCATACCCTTCCCCCAGCCCTGTCCCCCACCCCCGCCCCCCTCCCCCTCCCGCCCCTACCCGCCCCTCCCCCCTCCCCCCGCAGGTCAAATTTGTCAAGCGGTACGACGACCGCAAGGGCAAGGAGCGCGCCGAGGAGGTGACGGGCGGCTTTAAAAAAAACCCCTGGGACCCCCACCATTTTGGGGGGCAAAAGGGGGGGCCTCCAAAAACCCTTCGGTTTACTTGGGCCCCCCCCCCCCCCCCCCCTCGCCGCGCCTCGGCTCCGCCCCTCCCCCTCCTCGCACCACGCCCCTCCGCCGCCCGCCTGCCGCCCTCCCCTCCCTCTCTGCCGCCCTCCCTCACTGCCGCCCTCCCGCTGCCGCCCTCCCGCCTGCGGCCACTGCGAGCGCCCCTTCGCCAGCAAGCCAGCACTCCCGGGCCACCCCTCCGACGCCCTCCCTCCCGCCTCCTGCGCCAAGGCGGCTACGGCGGCGGCGGCTACGGCGGCGGCGGCAGGCCCAACGACCCCCCTGCGCCCGTCGCTGGCGGCGTGAGCGGTCCTCCTCCTGCCGGGATGTTCTCTGGAAAAGTGATGCGTTGGAACGAGCGCGGGTGAGCGTCCTCCCGCGCCAGACCCCTCCCCAACCGCTGCCGCCTCTCTCCTCCCTCTCTTCCTGCCGAGCGCCGCCAGCGGAGCCTAGCGCAGCGCGCCTCGCAGCGCCTCGCAGGGCCTCGCAGGGCGGCCCTGAGGTGCGGTGCGGCGCCCTGTGGCAGGTTCGGCTTCATCCAGCCGGACGAGGGCGGGGAGGACCTCTTCTGCCACCACTCGCAGATCGAGGATGGCAACGCGCTCGCGCAGGGCGCCACCGTCCACTTTGTCAAGCAGTGGGACGACCAAAAGGGCGCGCGAGATCTGGGGAGATATGGGGAGATATGGGGAGATATGTCAAGCAGTGGGACGACCAAAAGGGCGCGCGAGATCTGGGGAGATATGGGGAGATATGGGGAGATATGTCAAGCAGTGGGACGACCAAAAGGGCGCGCGAGAGCGAGCGCCCCCCCCTCCCCTCTCCTCTCGCCACTCCCCCCCCCCCCCCTCCCCACCCCACCCCACCCCTTCGCCCTCCGCAGGCAAGGACCGCGCGGTCCAGGTCAAGGGCGGCTTCCACGAGGCGAGGGCAGTCTAGACAGCAGTTAGTATAGTCCAGTCTAGTCTAGTCTAGTCCAGGTCAAGGGCGGCTTCCACGAGGCGCAGCGCTGTCAGACTGGGCTCTAGGGACACACGGAGCCCTCCCCGAACCTTCTGCGAACCTTCCCGCTAGGCGCGCCCCGAAGGCGGAGGGATGGGAGGCGGCGGAGGCTACGGCGGCGGAGGCTACGGCGGCGGAGGCTACGGCGGCGGCGGCGGCGGCTACGGCGGCGGCGGCTACGGCGGCGGAGGCTACGGCGGCGGAGGAGGCGAGCGACGGATTGGCGTTGGTGTCGTGCTTGTCCTCGACACGCCTTGCGATTCGGATAGGCGGGTACGGCGGCGGCGGCGGCGGCTACGGCGGTGGCGGGTACGGCGGTGGCGGACGGTACTAGAGGCGCACCAAGCCAAGTTCCGCGGTACGGCGAGAGGGCTGAGGGCCTCGACGCGCGTGCTGCGCCCATCCGCTTCCCGTTCACGCATGAGAGAGGAGAGCGCACACCCGCAATTTCGCTCTGCCTCTGGCGCGCGGTCTCTCTCTGCCGACTGCCGCCGTGCCCGCGTGTATCTTTTCGGGCATGGTCGCCGATGTCTACACGTAAATAAAACCAAATCACGTCTGATCCGCGCTAACACATGCTCCTCCGCGAGCCGACGGCGTGCGGTTCGTGGCACGCTGGGGACACACCGACACCCCTCACACGGTGACACACACCCACGGGGACACGGAGCGTCGCGACCCGGGGGCGAGCGATCCGCCCGTCACACCATTTCCGCGGGTGCAGCTGGTGCCTTCACGCGGCGCCACGCTTGCCGGACGAGGGGTGCCATCAGAGCCAAGGTTGCGACTGCGAGGAGAAGAGCTGAGCCACCCAGCGCCTTCGGTGAAGAGCGAGACTCACCCAGCAGGAACCATTCAGGCTCTGCGAGGCTGGGCTCGGCGTGGTACCAGGTCCAGCCAGGCTCGGGTACCATGGGCTCGTAGTACTGGTGATTGAACGCAGCCCAGTCAGGCGGCTCGTAGCGTTCGTCGCTAACCTCTTCGACAACGTGCGTCTCCTCAGCAAAATTGCGCACAGGAGGAACCGGCGGCATCGGCGGCGGCGGTATCGGCGGCATCGGCGGCGAGAGAGTTTCTGCCGGCGCGGGGAAATCGGTCCCGCGGTTGTCCCACCAATGCATGGTGCTGTCGGTGCGAGCTCACAAATCACCGGTGCGGCGTGCTTGGAGAGGGAACTACGGCGTGCTGAGACAAAAAGAATTTTCGCGGTTCCAATAGTGTGGCGGCTTGCCGTCCTCCCATCCCTCCCTTGCTCGCTTCCTCATTTTTTCTTTTTACTAGGCATGGGACTGCCGGAGGCCTCGGTCTCCCCTCTGCCCGTGCGACTACCGACTTTCGCTAACTCCCTCGAGCGTAGATCGTCTCTCGTGGGGCTTTGGCTCGTCAAACCGCGACTCCTGATCGCCAGGCCAGTGAGGAGGCAACCAGTGCTGCTGCAGATGGTCCGGGGAGGCGCGATGAAGGGCGGACCAGCACACGGCCGCACTCGCGAGCACCGCCAGCACTGCGGCGGGCGCGCGCAGGCTGCGGCGCGGCGGACTCGCGGCTCGAATCATGGTTGCATCCCAAGGAGAACGCGCAAGCGCATATATGCCCGCCCTCGGTGGCGTTACGGTTTCACGGCGAACACGTGGCTGATTCTTTCCATGGAGAAGAAATTCTTTTTTTGGTGTACCTGTGTTAGTGCACTCCAGTCCCGCGCCCACTGTTGTGCGAGGAAGTTTCGTGGTGAACTTCTTTTGTATCAGTGCCAGTGCGCGCCACAGTCCCGTGCCTAGTAAAAAGAAAGAAAAGAAAAACCCGGTCGAGAATCTCGAGAAAATTCTTTTTGGAACAGTCGCTGCTGGTGCGGCCGCCTTCACATAAACGCACAACCCCGCCTCCACGCCAGGAGGACCACCCCTCATACGAGTATCGCTGTACCTCACTGCGACTCTCCTGTAAGTGCATGCCACCTCGTTGCCTCTCGTCCCTTCCTCGTCGCCTCCTCGACCGCGAGCTCTCCGGAAAGCCTGTCGTGCCGGACGGCACGCCACTCCTGCGCTGCTGCCCACCCTCGCGCACTTCGCCGGTGATTGCGGATGCCGCCTGCGCCGTGCTGGGTTGTGTCCTGCTCGGTTTCAGCGGCGACGGCGAGCGACTAATCTCCTATTCGCATGGCGCCGCCGACGCCGCTTCTGCCACCAAGCACGAGAACCTCACAACATCCGCGGCCGCCATGAGGGACGGCATCTGGGGGCAGGTCTGGGCCTTCCGTCCTGGCCAACCGCTCTCGCTGCTGCTCGAGGCTCCGCTCTTCGTGTCGCGGGCGGGCGCGTCTGAGATGCGCTTCTCCTGCTTCGAGGCGGGAACGGGTGCAGCCCGCCGCATCGGTCACTCGCGCCATTGCGTGAACGGCGCGTCTTCAGCATTGGAATGTGTGAGCATAGGCGCTGCCGCAGCGCTGGTCTTTCACGCCTCCGAGGCGCTGGCCAGCCCGGACGCGACCGAGGCAGAGCTCGGCTCGCGCCGATTTGAGCGCCTCTGTGTGATCCGTGGCACCACTGCTGCTGCTGCTGCTGCTGCTCCCTCGGAAGCCGCGCCGCCGCCGGGAGGGAGGGGCGCGCGGCGGTGCGTGCTGCGCCTCGAGCGCTTCGTGGCGAGCTGCGAGGCACACGGCCCCTTCCTGCCCGCCTCGTGGTCGCTGCTCCACCTGCCTGCCTCCAACGTGCTCCTCTGGGCGACGGGCGACGGTGTGTGCCTGATCCGCCTCCCCACCTCCCCTTCCTCCTCGTGCTCCTGCTCCGCCACCTCCGCCGACGCCAACGCCTCCGCCGCAGCCGCCCCTGGCGCATCCCTCCTCGCCGAGGAGGACGAGCCCTCCGCCCTCCGCCAGAGCCACCCGCCCGCGCGCGGCTGCTGGCGAGCTCCGCTGCCGCCCCACTCCTACTTCGCCGACGCCGGGGCGCGGGGGCGGCGGGACGTGGCTTGCTCTCGCTTCGACCTCGAGGCGTGGCTGCCGGCGCTGCTTGGGCAGCTACGGCTGTCACACCTGCGCGTCGCAGACTACGCTCTTCTCCCCGCAGCGGCGCACGAAGACGCGGCGAGGCCCGGCGGCAGAGAGGGCGGCAGAGAGGGCGGCAGAGAGGGCGGCAGAGAGGGCGGCAGAGAGGGCGGCAGAGAGGGCGGCAGAGAGGGTACGGGCCGAGGAGGCGGCGAGGCGGAGGCGCGGGGCGGCGGAGGCGGCGGAGGCGGCGACGGCGCAGCGGCGCTGCTGCTGCTCGTCTACGTGCAGCTGCACGCCCCAAAGCAAGCCGCCACCTCTTCCCTCGGCCTGACCTCCGCCTCCGCCGCCACCGCCTCGGCCACCTCCGCCTCGGCCTCCGCTCCTCCCGCCGCCGAGTCCGCCAATGCCGGCCTGACCTACACCTCCGCCAATGCCGGCCTTGCCCACGGGCCGTGCCACGACCCGGCCGAGGGATCCGCGGCGGCGGAGGCGGAGGCAGCCGCGGAGGCGGAGGCAGCCGCGGAGGGGGAGGCGCCGCGGCGCACGGCGGTACTGCTGGCGCTCTCTGCGTCGCTCGACGGACGAGGCTCGCTGCGGCTGCTGCACGCCACGCGGGCGCCGCTCGACGCGCCGCCGCGCTACTTGCACGCCGAGCTCTCGCGAGCGCGCGCGCTGCAACCCCCGCTGGCGGCGCGTCACCGCGGCGCTTGCGTCGGCCACACGGCGCGAGGCAACAGCGGAGGCGTCCTCTCAAATGCGTCCGTCGAGACGGGCATCTCTCTCGAGGCGCTGCGCCACCCGACGATGCCGCTGGCCGTCTCGGGCTTCCGGCGGCCGGGCGCAGCGGCGGCGCGCAGGTCTTCGGTGCTGCCGCGTGGGGAGGCGGCCTGGAGAGGTGGCTGGTGTAGCCAGCAGTGACGCGTGCGGTCGGTTCTCTACCAGTATTTCACACACTTTACATAGCTGTCTAATCTGTAATCAGAACCCCGCGCGGCTCTGCCGTCCTGCGGCACACCTGTGTGCTGCACCGTCACCCCCGTCTCTCGAGTCTCTCGAGAGATCAGAGAAGGGTGAAATTCTGAAAAACGTGCAGCACTTCTAGCCAACATCGACAAAAGTCACTCTCTAGCCCCGCGGCGAGCGGCCCCGCCGGAGGCGAAGAAAATTTTGCCATCTAGGCGCTCTCTAACACACATTTTTGCACAAATCGACACCTCCAAACAAACTCAATAAGACTGGTCTTCACTGCAGCACGCCTCGAGCGAGTAATGCGTCTGTAGGCCAATATAATAGAGCTTCTCGCGCGCGCTCCTCAGCTGGCGGTCCGCAGGGCCGCCCGGGCCGGGCGAGAAGCGCAAGCCCGCCAGCCGCACCATGTGATTCACGATGATGAGCGTCTCGGCCTCGAGCAGCGTGTAGGAGCGAAGCTTGCCCTCGCACTCGCGTTGCTCGAGCCTGAGCCACTGCGCCTTGACCACGAGATAGCCCGCGGGGATGGTGTCGGTGTTGACGACCGTGTCCTCGGCCAGCGTGTACGCCTTCCCCTTGAGCACCGCCAGCCAGTAGAGCCCCTCGAGCGACTGCTCGCGCCGATCTGCGCGGCCAGCGGCCAGCTGCTTCGCCTTGAGCGACGCGGCCCACACCTCCAGCGACTCCATCTGCCGCAGCTCGGCCGTCTCGCCTGCGGCACGCGGCGCCTTCTGCTTCTTGACCCTGCCAAAGACGGCGACCATCTCGCAGTCCCCCCAAAGAAGAGCGATGCACGGCGGGCACGCGCATGGAATACCGCGCCTGTGACAGGGAGCCGGTGCGGGGGTCAGGAGGGGCGCGTGACGTGCGGCAACACACGGCACACTACACGGCACGGCACGATGAGCATAACATGGCTCAATACTAGCGTACGTGGTCAGGAGACCATCCTTCCGCGCGGCGGCCGCATCCTTGCAATCCCCCGCGAACATGTGGACGTCGTGACTGTGAGCCGTTGAAAAGCCATCAGCCTTGGGGACGGCAAGGGCGGTGAACTTGGAGTGCTGAAAGAAGCCGTAGAAGATGCGCTCGATCGCCCACCAGCCCTCCTTGAACGACTTCGCGACAGCCGGGGTCGCTCGTGCCTTGGCGAGATAGAGGACGACGTTGCGAGAGCCGGAGAATATGAAATTGCCCGACCGGATCGCCTCAGTGATCGCGTTCGACGGCAGGTTGCTCAGCGCATCGCAGATGTTTTTGCCGTGCATTGACTCGAGCGTCCAGTGCACGCGCAAGATGCCGAATTTGGTGAGCCACTCGGCAGTCTGATGGTAGTTGTCTTTCTCTCTCTCGAACTGCGCGGCACACTGATCCGTCAGGGAGAGCTTCCGCTGGTAGTCGGGAAAGTCGGTTACGGGGAGGGCTACTACGAGGTCTCTGCGCGGGATGTGCTGGGGCCCTGCGCCCCAGTCGATTGCCGCATAGTTCGTCGTAGTAGCCCTATCATAAACCTCATATTCACACCTTGCACTTTGAAAAAAAGAAATGTCCTGCTTTTGTCGAAGATCCGGAGGGTTTATCGGAGCATCACCCAGAACCATACAATAGTGCAGGTGTCCGTTTTCATTTATTATTCGATCGTCGCTTACAGAGTGAGAGAGCTCACGTGCTGCCCCTCAAGCCTCATCCATCGCCGCGGTCGCCCCCCTCGTCGCGCCGCCCGAAAGTGCGGCGGCGGCGGCCAAACTCGCGCAACGCGCCGGCGAGCTCCGCGGTCCCGAAGTCGGGCCACAGGCCGTCGAGGACGACGATCTCGGTGTAGGCGCACTGGTACAGCCTGAGGGCCGTGAGTGGGCGCCGTGCGGGTGGATGCGAAGGTACGGCATGCGGTGGGTGGGTGATTAGAACGCTGAACGAGGAGACTTCTCGAGCGCTCACGGGGCGGATGCCCCCTTCTTCCGCATCTACGGAGCAGCCACATGAAGTTGCTCAGCCGGTGCTGCCCGCCCGTGCGCAGCAGCAGGTCGGGGTCGCTGGGCGCGCCTATTGGACGCGTCGCGGACGGGCGTCGCGGACGTGTCGTGGACGCGTCGTCGGCAAGCCGGCGGTCGAGCGGCGCGCCGTGCGGCGCCTCGCGCAACGCCGCGGAGAGCGCGGCCTCGTCGATCTCGCGCGGCGAGATCTCCCGCGCGACCGCCCTCTCGGCGAGCTGCCTGCGGGGGGGCGTGCCGTGGACGTGTCGTGGACGTGTCGTGGACGTGGTATCGCGGACCTGAGACGTATCGCGCGCGACTGGGCAGTGGGCGGGCTGCCTGGCCGCCCGCGCGAGCTCCTGCGGCGGGGGAGGGGGCGTCGTGGGCGAGGGAGGGGAGGGGAGGGGAGGGGGGGGAAGAGCGAGTGAGCGGGCGAGGGAGGGAGGGAGGGAGAGGGAGGGAGGGAGAGGGAGGGAGGGAGAGAGAAAGACAGAGAGAGAAAGACAGAGAGGGGGGGGGGAGAGAGAGATATAGAGAGAGATATCCATCGGGTGCTACGAGCCCGCCTGCCGGCCGCCGTAGCTAAGCGCGACGCAGAGCCGAAGCCGCTCCCCCACCTAGCCGAGATTCAGCCGAGGGCTTCTCCAGCCGAGATCCAGCCGAGAACCAGCCGAGACAGTTGAGATGCAGCCGCCTGCCTCTGCGCGCTATCTCGGCTGCATCCCGGCTGCATCCCTGCTGCATCCCGGCTGCATCCCTGCTGCATCCCGGCTGCATCCCGGCTGCATCTCCCAAGCCTCCGCAGGAGGGTGTCGCGCCGCCACACGGGCCAGCAAGCGCTGCAGCGCCTGTCGGCAGCCAGAGACGTGAGGAGCTGCTCCAGTGCGTGAAGAGACGCGAGCAAGGCACTGCGGCACCGGAGACAGCCGCGTCAGATCGCCGACGAAGCTGAGTTGGACGCCGGTGGCGAGCAGCGCGTCCGCCTGGCGGCGGCGAGAGGGCGAGTGGGTGGGAGAGGGGAGAGAGATGCGCGATGTGAGCGAGTGAGTGGAGGGGAGGCGCTGCGCTGCGCCTCGGCGAGCAGGACGCTCTCGATCAGCGACAGCAGCGCCTGCACCTCGCTGCGCGGCCGCAGCCAATTCTCGTGCGAGAAGGCGTACACCGATAGCTCCCGCACTGCGCCCAGCGCTGCGCAGTCGCCGATGAGACGCCGCAGCGCCTCGACGCCCGCAGCGTGCCCTTCGGCGGTCGGGCGGCCGCGAGCGGCAGCCCAGCGGCTATTGCCGTCCATGATGACCGCAATGTGCCTCGGCACCGACGGCAGCTCCTCCGAGCACACCGCCTCCAGCAGCGGGTGCAGCGGCGCCGGCTCGGCGACCGAAGCCCTCAAGGCTGCGGTTGAGGCGCGATTCAGCGGCGAAGGAGACAGCAGCGGCCGAGCTATCGCCGCCGTAGCCACGCACAGCACGTCCCAGTAGTGCAGCATGGGCGTTTTGCCGGGAACAACGAGCGGGACAACGAGCGGGCACGAGTGAGCACAAAAGAATTTAACGACAAGGAAATGGCGGCGCACGTGCGTCGCCATCTCTCTTGGAGATGACTGCTCTATTTATTTATTTATGTGCTTACTGACGGCCGACCGTTCGCAGGGAGAATTAAAACAAGGCTCTCTCAGACTCTTGCCCGCAACCCGATGCCAATCATCCGGCCCGCTGGGTGCGCTTCTCAGCTCCCTGGGCCTGGCCCTGGATGTGCGGTTGATGACTGCACTCCAAGTGCTCCAAGACTCTCACAGACTGCACCCCAAGAGCCAAGTGCTCAAGACCAAGTGCTCACAGCACACACTGCTCACTGGCACGACAAGGGCGCGGAACTGAGCGACAGAGAAGACGAATTCCGGCACAACTTCAATAAAATGTCAGCAGAGTAGTCCTCCTACGGGAATGTACGTAAGAGCTACATATCCGCCGAATAAAAGGAATTCGAACATAACTCTCTCCGCTTCACACAGAACACTAGGCACGGGACCACACTGCGCACTGGCCTGGCGCTCACTGGCACTAACTCTACTTGAGCACTTGAGCACTGGATAGGGTCGATTCCGCATGGTACGGGACCCCTCGATCGTCTCGCCCACCCTCACTGGTGTGTTCATTGGGGGGGGTCATAATAAACACGGTACAGGATCGAGGTGCACACTAACTCTACACTAACACAGAAAAAGAATTGGACATGCTGGAAGAAAAAGAAAAGGGAGGGGCGCCCTAGGGGCGCCATGATGTGGGCCAATGACATGTCGACCGACGCGCTCGAATGGCTCGCGACCGCTAAGCGCTGACGCGTCCGCCAGGCGTCCGCCTCGCTCGCTGGCCGCCCGCCGGTACCGACCGCCGGGCCGCTGCATGCAGCCGCCTCGCAGTCTTCCTGCCCCGTATACTCACTTGGAGCACTTGGAGTACTTGGAGTGCAGTCATTAACCTCACATCCAGGGCCGGGGAGCTGAGAAGCGCACCCAGCGAGCCGGATGATCGGTATCGGGCTACGGGCTAGAGAGCCCTGACCCCTAGCTACTTTAAAAGAGATTTTTAGACACCAACAAACATTTGAATCAGGAAGTCCTGTTTGTTACCCTTTCACACGTGCCTCGTTTGTGCGTGAGTGAGTGAGGCGTACGTACAGACAAGGGTGACCAGGTTTGTTGTTGCACTTTAAGCAACCCGGAAAGCTGTGTGAGTTTTTCACAGTAACGAATTCGGTGTGCCCGCAAAGAAAGAAACAACTCTTGGTCGCCGACGGAAAACCGCGCCTGAATTTTATTACCAAACCCCAAAACCAGCGTGCATCCGTCCCCGAACCCCGCCCTCCTGGCATCGCGCTACGCGATGGGGTTCCCCTCCTTTTGTCCATTGGAGAAGGGGGATGTGGACCCTGGCTTCAGCGTGGATGTGGATTCAAACGGGGTTCCGGTGCCCACGCCAATTCCCAACGACTGCGGGAAGTGCATCATCAAAACGTTCCCCTGCGGCGAGGACTGGTTAAGATGCGAGGCGAAGTACTGCCCAGAGTTCGTGAAAAAGCTCTGCATCTCGGGGATGACGAAGGGGGGGGTGCCGCAAAAACCCATCCTCAAGCTGAGCGAGGTGGCGGCCACCGCAGCCGAGCGCGACATGAGCCTCCCAGAGGAGTTCCATTACGCCTCCGGCTGCGGCGGAAAGAAGGTGAGCACTAGTGCAGAAGCCACGGGCGAACGGCTATACTTCACACATATGCAAGCGCTTGCCAGTGCTCGCCGGGCAGTGAGGACTCCCAGGAGGACCAGCGGCTGGGCACCCCATTCACAAGCCCTGGCAGCGGCGTCGTCGGGGACAGGTCGGTGTGAGCACCGCCGGTCACGAGCTGCCACCGGTTCTGGAGGCTGTCGTCGAAGATGACCAGCAGCGGCAGCACCGCCGCTGCGGATGTCGTGGCACCGGCCGCGAGCCCCGTCGCCACGAGCATTGGTGGCAAAGGTCGATGGAGGCGTCAACCCCCGGCCCGGGGGGGGCCGTGCGGCGGGCACTTTCCTGAAGAAAATCCTTTCGGGCCCCCTGTCCAGAGGCGGAGGTGCCTTTCTGGGATCTTGCTAAAGTCGCAGCCTTAAATTTCTTTTTAATGAGTCCCCACAAGAATTCTTCCAAGGCGGAAGTCTCTCAAAGCGCGCATCGGCACCCGCCGTTGATAGACCTCGCGCTCATGCCTGCCTGGGCCCTCCGCCTATGGCCTCTCGCCGGCGGCAAGCGCGGCTCGTGCCGGACCCCGGGTGGAAACTATGGATCGTATGATGAGGTTTGGAGCGTGAAGGAGGCAGAGTGCCAGGCGCTGTGTGCAAAGTGGCTCGAGTGCGTCGCGATTGACTTTCAGCTATCGAGCGGGCCTTACACTCGCTGCAGGCTCCACAAGGAGGAAATCAGCCACGTCGTCCCGAATGGCCTCGATACCTGTCGCCTCCGGTGCGTACACACAGCGGCAGAGAATTCACGATTGCCCGCTACACATCTCCACGTCTGACGCATGTGTATACCGCACGTGTAGGCCCGGTCACGTCGCATCCTTTCGCGGCTTCACCAAGAGCAGCGGTGCGGCGATCCCCGCACCACCAATCCCACAGCCGCCGCCCGAGCCGTCGCCGCCGCCACTGCCACCCTTGCCGCCGCCGCCTCTCTCCCCGCCAGAACCGCAGCCTCCGCCGCCTCCGCCGCCCCGGCTGCCATCGCCGCCCTCCATTCCGCCGCCCGCTCCACCGGGCCCGCCGCCCTTGCCACCGCCGAATCCCTGCCTGCTCCACGTCGCCGGACCGGGCAGCAACCTGGCGGGGCCTTGCGCTGCAAGCGCCGGCGCAGGTCACCTGCGCCGAGCCAATTTCCGCGGGCTGGATCTCCAGGCCTCGGCCTTTGACGGCGTGGACCTGAGCGGAGCGACGCTGGACGGCGCTGACCTCTCCGTCGCGACGCTGACCGACGCGAAGCTGGCTGGCGCCTCCTTGCGGCGCGCGCGGCTCCGGAAGGCGAATCTGGCGAGGGCGGACCTCTCCGGCGCCGACCTGAGCGGGGCGGACTTGGCCGGCGCGGACCTGACGTCGGCGGTGCTGAGCGGCGCCTCCTTCCGCGGCGCGAGGCTGGTGGGCGCGGTCGTCAAGTTTGTGACGTCGGGCGAACGCTCTGTCTTCGACGGCGCAGACCTCCGCCGCGCCCAGGTCACGGACTGCACCTTTCCCAACTCTTCGTGGACGGGCGCCGACCTGCGCGCCGCCGCCATGGAGGACATGCGGCTGCACGGCGCTCTGGTCAGCGAGACGCGCCTCGACTCGTCGTCGCGGCTGATCGACGTGCGCCTCCGCGACGCGACGATCCGACACACGTCCTTCGCCGGCGTCAACCTGCAGGGGCCCTGCGACCTCTCCAACGCCTCGATGGTGAACGTCTCTTTCCGCGGCGCGAACATGCCCGAGGCGCGGCTGGCGCGCGCGGACGCGCGCGGCGTCGACTTCTCCGAGGCGCAGCTGGTGCTCGCCGACTTCAGCGGGGCGTCACTGCAGGGCGCCGTGTTCCGAGGAGCCGAGGTGACTGACGCGAGGTTCACGAGCGCCCAGCTGGACGCAACTGACTTTCGAGGCGCGCTGGGGAAGGACAAGGCCTCGTGGAAAGGCGCGAGCGGCCTCCCCTTCGGGGTGGACTTGCGCGTCGTCCAGAACCAGCCCGGCTGAAGAGGGGGGGGGGGGCCTAGCCGCCAAAAAACACAAGAAAGAAAGAAAACAGGCACTCCCAAGGGAGGGATCTTAGGGGACCCCTAGGGTTCTGAGGGCCGGATTTTTTTAAGACCTTTTAAGAAACGAGGAGGTTTGGGGGCTTAACTTGCCATTTAAGAGATTGCAGGCACGGGGGGTCCCTCTTTTAAGACCGTTTAAGAAAGTCGGCCTCGCCGGCACGCGTCGCTGGGTTCCGCGCCGTTTTCTCCAATACTGCCGCCGTTATTAGGCACAAACCCGCCTCTGAAGACACATCTGCAAGTCTGGTGCACTGGCAGGAGCCATACTCGCATAGGGGACGCGTGCTAGCTGACTGTAGCCGGCTTCCCGGCCTCCGGCGTGTCTACCGGGACTCTACCGGGAGCCTCCCGGACCATCGACCTCGGGAGCTCTCCCGCACCGTTTAAGCGTTTAAGACCGTTTAAGGAATTGGCGGCCCAGCAGCTCTTAAAACTTGCCATGGCAAGTTTTAAGCCGTTTAAGCCGCAGGCGCCCCAGGGCCCACCCTTTTAAGCCTAGGGGTCCCCTAAGGGAGGGATGGGAGGACGGCACGCCGCCACCACACAAAAAGAAAGAAAACAGACAACCCAAGGGAGGGATGGGAGGACACACAGGGATTTTAAACGAGGCAGGCGCACTTGGAGCACTTGGAGTGCAGTCAGTAACCTCACATCCAGGGCCGGTGAGCTGAGAAGCGCATCCAGCGGGCCGGATGATCGGGATCGGGCTACGGGCTAGAGAGCCCTGACCCCTATCTAGGGGGGGGGCGCGCATTCGCAGGGCAAGGGCCTTAAAGTAAACACGGGTCTCCGAGGGTTAGTTCTGCGCTCCGGGGTTCCCCCAGCGGCGGAATTTTTCCCTCGCGCTGTGGGTCCCCCTAGCTGCGGAACGCCCCCTCTACTCGGAGCTAAAGAATACTCTCCGAGGGTTAGCCCTGCGTACCAGGTTTCCCCTTAACTGCAAGGACGCCCCCTCTACTCGGAGCTAGTGGACACGACACTAACTACTGATACGAGAATACATACCGCCCCCACGCAACTACTCGAAGATAATACGAGAATACGCAGCTGCGAGACGCCTATAAAGAAACAGCGAGGTAAAGTTCGGCGGCTATGATAAACCGAAAGTTGTCGTAAAACGCGGGCGAAAGCAAAGCAGAGGGCGGGCGCTTTCTGCCGCAGCGATGCCCGCAGCCTGTCGAGCAGCTTCCGCGGCGCACATGCGCCGCGGGGCTGAACGACAGCCGCGCCTCTCGAGCCACCCGTGCCACGCGCGGCGACGCGCACCCTGCGCGCCAGTCGGCGCACTGGCAGTACTGCACCAGCCAGCACGGCGTGGAGCAATGCATCCAGGGCATTGTGTTGGGCGCCAGCCAGCATGCCTCAGCACAGAGCAAGAGCGCATGCTGCGCACCCTGGCGCAGCACCAGCTCGCCTCCAATCAGGCACTCTCACCACTGCACAGCCGCCCACGAGCGCCCGCAGCTGCACTGCTCAACGCTCAAGCTCAGGAGCCTCCCCTTGTTGTCGCAGCTTTGTGCAGTGCAGCGTGCGAGCAGCGCAGCGCCAGGCAGACCCGTGGCACGCCCGGGCGGCTGTGGGACGGAGGCCCGCCGAGCGAGTGCGAGCCGCATCGGCGGCCATGTCTCCCGCAGCCGTGAGCGAGCGGTGCAAAGAGGCAGCGTCGCGCATGCTTTTCCGTAACGGTCTCTGGTCCAGGCGCGTTTTCTTGTTTAGGGATTGACTCGGGCGATTCGTCGACTGGATCGAGGTCACAGGTTTGGCTTGCCACGAACTGCACGCACTGCGCCGATGCTCCTTCTCCTCTCCTCGGCCACCGGCGCGACGGCTGATACCCGGTGCGTCGACGAAGGCCCGTGGCCTTGCTCGGTCGACGGCTGTCCATCCGAGACCGTTGGCTGCTCGTCCCTCGCTGAGCTCGACCTCTGCTCGAGTCAGTTCGCCGAGATTTGGAACCCGCCGCCATTCGGCCTCTCGGGCACGGTCCATGGCCGCTGCCCTCGCGCCTGTGGCCGGTGCGGCGTCGATCCGCCCGCCGAGTGCAACATGGCGGTGATAGACGGCACGGCACTCGGCGAGGAGGCGCTGGCGGCGGCGCTCGTGGCGGCGGAGGAGCCGGTTGTGATCCGTCCTGTCCCTCACTCATGGGCGGCGCCTCCGCTGGAGCGCCTTGTGCGGGACCACGGTGAGTTGCCGCTGAGCGTGACGCTGAGCGGCGGCCGCTTCATCGGCGACGAAGCAGAGAGCGCGCCCTCCTCCCTCGGCCGGTACTCTCTCGAGCTGGCGAGCGGGCAGCTGCCGGCCGACGCGTACGTGTTCGACGAGCTGGGCGGCGTAGATCTCTCGTCCGGAGAGTTCGCGCTCGGAGGCACTGGACTCGTGCCCGCGTGCACCGCCGCCCCCGAACAGCCCTCTCGACTTTCCACCGAGCCTTCCTGCAGGCACGGGGGTCGCGCCCGCCGCCCGCGATCTCTCGGCGGACGTGCCGTCGCTCAGCTTCTTCAGGACGGTCCTTGCGCGCCACAGCGAGGAGCGGCCGAGCACTGCCGGCCGGCTCCTCCTCTCGGCGGGCGGCTGGGCGAACGGGCGCCCCTTCCACGCGCATGGGCCGGCGCTCTTCGCGCTGCTCGGAGGCGCCAAGCGCTGGCTCGTGCGGCGGCCGAACGCCAGCTTCGCGTGGCAGTCGCTCGAGGCGCCGCGGGAGAGCCTGTCGGGCGCATCGCTGCCGGACGGCTGGGAGCCGCACGTGTGGCAGTGCACGCAGCGCGAGGGGGAGCTCCTGTGGGTACCGGACCAGCAGCACCACGCGACCCTCAACTACGCCGCGGACACAGTCGGCGTCACGATGGTCATTGACGAGACGGAGCCCTTCACGCCGCTGCACGCCGCTGCGCAGAGCGGAGCCGCGGCGGCGGTGGCGCGGCTCCTCCGAGACGGCGCAGAGGTGGACGCTGTGGCGGTGGCGAGCGGCGCGACGCCACTTCACTTCGCCGCCGGGCTCGGCCACTGCGACGCTCTCGAGGCCCTCTTCGGGAGGTGGTGGCGCCGCCGGGCTCGCGACGTGGGTGCGATGAGTGCGAGACGCGATTGCAATAGGCGCTGCTGGGTGGCGGCGCCACCGTCGACGCGGTGGCGAGCGGAGGCAACACGCCGCTCCACGTGGCGGCGGCCGGCGGGCACGCGCGCGCCGTGCGGATGCTGGTGCAGAGCGGGGCCGACCTTGAGGCGCGCGACGCGCACGGTCACACGGCTCACGGACTGGCGGTGAGGCTCGGGCAGGAGGAGGCTGCAGCGGTGCTGGAGCGGGCGGCGGTGTTGTAGTTGTAGTTGTAGAAAAAAAGGCTAAGCTCAGAAAAAAATGGATTGACTTTATTTATTTATTTATCGTACTTTACGGGGTGTGGAGCGAGGGTGGGAGTTAGCCAGGGGTTGTGCGCTGGGCCCTCCTGCTCGGCTCCAGCGAGTAGACAAGTGTTGTCATCAACAGAGTAGATAAGGATCTCTGACCTCCAGGGCTGATGTACGGGGCTTTAACCAAGCGCTGGTAGCGTGTTTTTACCTCACACCCATGGTCTCACAGTGTGCCGGCAGTCGCCGAGCAGTGTCGCTCACACAAGCCGCAGCACAAGTGACTGAGGGCCAGTGAGGGCGAGCCCATCGCTGTGACAGCTGTGGCAGCCGCACACGGTAGGCTGTTTTTGAGAGAGACAGACATGACAGAGTCACACAGTACTACTACGCTACTACGGGGTGTGGAGGGTGAGAGTTGACCAGGGGTTGTGCGCTGGGCCCTCCTGCTCGGCTCCAGCGAGTAGACAAGTGTTGTCATCAACAGAGTAGAATTCAACAGAGTAGAAGGATCTGACCTCGGGGCCGATGTGACCAAGCGCTGGTAGCGTGGTTTTACCTCACACCCATGGTCTCACAGTGTGGCCGCAGCACAAGTGACTGAGAGCCAGTGAGGGCGAGCCCATCGCTGTCACAGCTGTGGCAGCCGCACACGGTAGGCTGTGCCATCTGTGCAGAGTGTGTGAGCAGCAGAGGAGCTGCTCTCCAGGCTTCAGGCGCAAAGAGCTGCTTAGGGGATCCTTAGGGTTCTGAGGGCCGGATTTTTTTAAGAGCTTTTAAGAAATGAGGAGGTTTGGGGGCTTAAATTGCCATTTAAGAGATTGCAGGCACGGGGGGTCCCTCTTTTAAGACCGTTTAAGAAAATCGGCCTCACCGGCATGCGTCGCTGGGTTACTGCCGTTTTCTCCAATACTGCCGTTATTAGGCACAAACCCGCCTCTGAAGACACATCTGTAAGTCTGGTGCACTGGCAGGAGCCATACTCGCATATAGGGGACGCGACACGCGTGCTAGCTGACTGTAGCCAGCTTCCCGGCCTCCGGCGTCTACCGGGGGAGCCTCCCGGACCATCGACCTCGGGAGCTCTCCCGCGCCGTTTAAGCGTTTAAGACCGTTTAAGGAATCGGCGGCCCAGACAGCCTTAAAATGGGCCATGGGCTCTTGGTGGTCGGCAAAAGAATTTTACATGCACTCCTCTCCTTAAAATTCTTGTGTTTTTTCTTTCTTTCCGCACGCCGACCCACCGCTGTCTCTGAGTGGGATCGCCGGCTTGGTCGCCCTGAACCCCCGCTGCCGCCGCTCGCATCATTCGTCCCTTCTTGTCCCTTTTGCCCCTCTGCACTTTGCTCCATCCTTCCCTTTTCCCTCGCCGCGTAAGCCGTAACTTGCTGCTGCTGCTGCTGTTACCTCCGGTCCACACGGGTACTCCCGTGCTAGGACAACAAGGCCCCACGGTACATATACACACGGCGTCTCCAGACTCCACACTTAGGCGAGTCACACATGTACATGTACATGTCATGTGTCGTGATTGGGAAGGGATCAAAGCGCTGACTGAGAGTCATGTATGTATGTGTATGAGTATGTTGTAACTTGCGCCATTTTGAAACTTTTTTATTTTTTACACTTGGGTGTGAGGCTTCGACTGCAACTCCAATGCTCCAAGTGCATCTTATGGCCCTGAGAACGCGCACCCCCCAGGGCTAGGGCTCTCTAGCCCGTAACCCGATGCCAATCATCCGGCCCGCTCGCCGCTGGGTGCGCTTCTCAGCTCCCCGGCCCTGGATGTGTGAGGTTGATGTATGATGATGATTGATGATGACTGCACTGTGCACTCCAAGTGCTCCAAGTACACTAGCAAGGCAGTAGGCACGGGATGGCGCGCACTGTCACTAACGAGGGTAAGAATTTTACCACCAAACTCCCTCGCACCAACACACTCACTATACTGGGCACGTACACACGTCACACCAAACACTACTCACTGGCAGGGGAAGACTGGCGCGCACTGCAGTCTGCACGGGAAAAGAATTTCAAAGCGACGAATGTCGGTGAGGCGAGATGTGGCATGACAATATCGGCGCCTTCGTTCATCGCAAAACGAGAAGACCAAGCCCGACTACGACGGCCGTGGCGCCGACGACGCAAGACGCGAAAAGCAACTGTAGAATCCGCGGCACGCCCCTCCGGCCAGGCTCCTCCTCTTCCTCTGCTTGGCGTCGCTGGCGCCACCGCCTCGACTGCCTCTGCTTGTCGGCCATGTCAGCGAGGTAGGCACGGTACTCCCGCGGGAGGCGGCGCCTCTCCTCCGGCGACAGCGCCTCCCAAGCCTAACAAGGAGGGGACAAATCGAGAGAAGTGGAGACGGCGAGGCGAGGGCAGCCGGGCATAGGTCCAGAACTTGGGGTCTGAGGGGGCAGGCAATCTCGGCTGCCTCGCGCCTCCTCCTCCTCGATTAGGTACGCGAGCGTGGAGAGGTGGGCGGAGAGGTGGCGGCGCCCATGCCGCCGCAGGGCCTGGAAGAGGCGCTTCGAGGGTAGAAGAGTGTCCAGGTCAAGCGCGGGCGGTTCGGTGTGTTCGTCGTCGTCACCGCCCTCCTCTTGGCGCTCGGCAGGGGAATGCATGTCAGAAACCACCGTCGACGACGCGGCCTTGCCCTGCGGCTCGACGAGCACACCACTGCTGCTGCGTCGCAGCGACTCGAGTTCCGCGAAGCGCTCAGCCCTCGCGTTTGCCGCCCAACACGCGTCCGACTCGGCGCTCCTGCTCCGCCATGCCTCCACAGCAGCCGGCGAGGCGCACTCGTCGCACAGGCACACGGCGCGGCGCTTGCCCGTCCTGCGGCAGCGGGTCGAGTCGTACCACTCGTTGGTCGTTTGTGGCTTTTGCGCGCGGATGTTTGCCGTTCAATTGGACGTGGTGGATAGGACGAGCGGAAGGCTGCCGCCGTTCACAGACGCAACTAGGATGCACGTGAAACTGCGGTGAAAAGGAGGTGGAACCAAAGCGAAATTGCTCGGTGTCGAGCTCAAAAAGAACAGAGAGAGAAAGAAAAAAGAAACCTGTGATAGTCGCGAAATGTCTTCCAGCTCGAGGCCGCTGCTCGGCCTGCTGCTTGTCGCGTCGGCAGCGGGCCTGTCGCCGATAACCGCGAGGCCCGCGACGCCAGTGGTGCGACACGCTCCGGTCGTTGTCCTCGCAAAGAAGGGGGGCAAGGGTGCGGCGGGCGGCCGCGGCTTTGCAGCGGCTCCTGCGCCCGTGGCTGCGCCCTCGGCGCCGGACGCCGCAGGGCAGCCCGCGCCAGCGGCGCCGGCCGCGACGAGGGAGGAGCGGGTAGACAAAGTGCTCCGCGACGCCGGCATTGCGCCGACGAGCGCCGCCGCGCCGGGCGCCGCGCCACCTGACCTGCTTTCAGACCCGCTGGCGCGGATCCCCAAGCAGGGGCAGGAGCTGCTGGAGCGCTTCTTCGGCGGCGGCGCGATCCTCTTCGGCACCGTCTTCCTCGCCTCGGGCATAGCCGTCTCGGTCGAGGCCCTCTGCAAGGTGCGGCTGGGCCACGTCCGGGACACATCTGCAAACCGCTTGCGTCGGCTGCTGTCGACACTCTCGCGAACCGCCTGCCGACACGTCCGCGACATGCCTGCACACACGCTTCTCCACGGCTCGCCTCCTCCCTCCCGCAGGTGCTGGGCACGCCGCTCCCCGCGGCGGTCGACAGCCTGCTAGTCGATGTTGTGGAGCCGCTGCTCACGCCCTCGATCCTCATCCTGTTTGGTGAGGCCGTGGCCGAGAGACGCCTGAGAGACGTCGGCGAGAGAGACGTCGGCGAGAGACGTCGGCGAGAGATGTCGGCGAGAGATGTCGCCGCGATGCGACCGAGAGGGGGCCGAGAGGGGAACGGGGCGAGCCCTCCCCCTCGACCCTCCCGCCTGCCCCCCCTCAGGCTTCTCGATCTCGCTCGGGCTGCTCAAGCAGCTGCAGTTCTCGTCCGAGTCGGCGAGAGGTAGCCGAGAGTTGGCCGAGAGGTCGCCGGGGTTGGCCTTTGCTCCTCAGAGCTGGCAGGGCGTGCTCTAGCGAGGAGGACGGCACCTTGGGTGAACCTTCTCGGAAGCTTCCCGTAGGCGGGCGTGCTCTACCGCGAGGACGACGACTGACTCGCCTCCCGCTCGCTCCTCTCCCTCCTTCCCTCTGGTGGGCAAGCCCCTCGCGCTCCCTCGTGACGATCGCCTCTCCTGCTCTCCCCTCCCTAGCTCCCCTCCACGAGACGAGTCTGCGGCACTGCCTGGGGCTCCTCCGTTCGAGATTCGTTTTTCCCGGTCGGATTGGGGATTGACACATGTGCGCAACTCCACGATTTGGCCGTCCACGGCCGACCGGCTCTCCCCACCAAAGTTGAGTTCTCTCTCGTTGTACATACATACAACATGCAAAGTATGTATATAGTGACCCGCCGATGGCATATACGGCGGGGCTGCGCGAGGTCTGTCTGCTCTCCCTGGACCCAGCCTGCACTTGAGGCATGCAGCTGGGAGAGGGGTGCTGACAAACGCCTCCCGCCCTATCCACACCTGCTCTCGGCTATAGCAGGGCCAGCGCGAAAGCGACCCCAAACGGAGCGTGCGGCACAATAATCTTGGCAGCGGGGAAGGAGCGAGAGCATAGCCACGCGTGAGCGAAGGAGCACACGGCGCCGAGGTGGAAGATGGCGAGCACGGCGTTGCATATCTCGCCCGTCTCGGTGTGGATGAGCCCGCGCCACTGCACCAGGCCAGAGAGCGCCGCCAACGATAGGATTGACGCGGCGTGGTGCCGCACATACATAGCCGACTTTGCGGATCTTTCGCCGGGCGACTCATGCTGGTACCGGCCTCGCAGCTTAATCAGCCCGAGGCAGACCTCGAGGGCAGTGTGCGCCAGGTACACGACTGCCATTCTGTCCATGGCTAGGGAGCTGTCTGGTACGAGTATAGCCCCAGGCCGTGCCACTCCGTCGCACTGCCGGGCATCCTCTCCTGGTGGAAGGGGAAGAATTTAAACAAAACAACTCTGCTCACAGCACACAGGCTCGACACAGGTGCGAACTGGCGCGTGCTAGTACTATCACCGGTGGAAGGGGAAGAATTCTTGAACTCCAGCCGCTCTCACAGCACACTGGCACGACAAGGGCGCGGACTGGCGCGGACTGGCACACACACCGGCTCACCACCGAAGTGCAAGAACTTCGCAGGCCCCCCCGACCGCGTCGAACTCATCGGCGCGGGCTCTCTCGGCTACGGGACCGGCCCCAGCTTCGGCTGAGGGCTAACAAGCTGCCGAGCCCAAATCACTGTGCGAGTCGTGATTTCTTGTTGGTCTTTAAAAATCTCTCCGAAGTGCCCGTGCAGCACTTTGCGCAGCACTACAATGACATCAGCCAACGGCGTGGCGATGTCGCGCGCATCTACGCGGTGCGGGCACAAGACAAGGAGTTTGGCCTCTGCCACACGTTCGTACGAGCTTGGCCGCTTCTGTCCGTCCATGCTGCCGTCGGCGCAGCGCATCCCGCCTATTGGCGACCTCTTCACGCAGCAGAGCACCTCTCCAGTCCCGAAACAGGGCACGCTCGCTGCTGTCGGGGCCCATGAAGCGTGGATCGCGTGCCTGGCGGCGTGCGAGGAGGTCGACAAAAACACGCCGCAGTCGGAGGCGATCAAGTTCAGGGACGCAACTCGCTTCATCTCGATCTCCCAGTTCGGCGCTGCTGGATGGCTCGACATGCGCCCTGATGGACTCCACCACACGAAGATGGTGTCGGCGATGTTCCTGACGGCGATACAGCGCAGGCACGGGCTCTATACTTGTCGGTGATTGCGCCCACTCTCGTCGAGAAGGCTGCCGCGGGCGAGCACGTCACGGTGGGAGAGTACAAGGGCGACTTCCTCGCCAACTCCAACAAGGGCGACCGCACCTCCAAGCACAACGGGGTGCTAAGGGCCGCCCAGAATGCCATCCGGGCGCGCTCGGTTGGCAGCATCATCCTCGGGGACAAGGAAAAGCCCGAGGTGACGCGGCACCTCAACGACACGTCCGTGACTGACATCTGCGAGATCAGCGGCGACTTCGCCACGATGCGGGACGTGCATTACGAGGTCAAGTGCTGGAACTCTCTCATCAAGTCGACGACGTTGGGGAGGGGCTCGTGGGACAATGGTGGCAATGTGGCGTCGGTGGGCCACCTCTACGGGTTTGGAAACACGCTGGACAAGGCGTTGACGGGAGTCGTGGGGTGCAAGGAGCGTGGCCGTCAGGTAGACGGACCGCTCGACCACTCGACTGGAAAGGGATGGGTCAAAGACCACGCGTATGGAAAGGGGTGGGTCAAGACGGATACGGGCTGGAAGTGGATGGGGGCGCAGTACTACGACGCGAAGTGGGTCAAGAAAGCCATAACGCGGCTGGTGCTCGTTCGTGGAAACTTTGGGAGGCATTGTGCGCCGCCCACCAAGCAGTTCCTCCACGTGTTCGCCAAGGAGGCGGCGGGCACCAACACGGACCGGACGGTGTACGGGGCGGCGTCGGCGAGCGCCTCCTCCTTCGTCGTCCACCACACGCAGCAGATCTCCATGGCGGCGGTGGCGAAGTCGCAATCGTCGGCCAGGGACGGCCGCCGATATATCACGCTGAGGGCGCAAGCCAACGAAGCGTCTGCGTCCTCGGTGGCGGCTCTTTCGGCCGCGCGATATGACGGCAAGCCAACGAAGCGTCTGCGTCCTCGGTGGCGGCTCTTTTGGCTCGACCATCGCGCGCCTGGTTGGCGCTGTGGCGGCGGACGCCCCCGTGCGCTGGTGGGTCCGTGAAGCCGAGGTGGCCGATGAGATCAATACTCACAGGAGCAACGAGCGCTTTCTCCCGGGCGCCGTGTTCACGCCCAACTTGGTGGCCATGACCGATCTCGAGGCAGCGACGGCAGGAGCCACGCACCTCGTGGTGGCCATCCCGTCCCAATTCCTCCAGGCCACGCTGCCGCGTGTGCGCAAGCACATTCGAGCCGATGCGTCGGTGCTGAGCGTTGTCAAGTCGTTGCACTACGAGGACGCACGCAATCGGCTCAGCCTTCCGTCGAGCGAGATCTTGCAACTGCTTGGAGGCACGCACGAAGTCTGCGCCCTCTGCGGTCCCAACATTTACCACGAGATGACGAGCGACGCCTCGTTCGCGGAGGCCACGATTGGCTGTGCGGACAGCGTGAGCGGCCGTGTCGCGGCCGCGCAGTGGCACGCGCTTCTCATGGCCGATTACTTCGCGACGCCCGACGCGGTGCATCGCCGATCGGAGCGGCGTGGAAGCAGCCGGCGCGCTCAAGAACGTGATAGCCCTCGGCACTGGCTTTGGGACTGGGTGCGGTCACGGCGCCAACGTGTGCGCCGCCATCATGCGTGTGGGCCTGGGCGAAATGGAGCGGTTCGCGCGGCGCTTCCTCGGCGCAGCGGACGCGCGCACCTTCTACGAGGAGGCCTGCGGCGTGGGCGACCTCGTGCTCACGTGCACCACCGGCCGCGGCCACCAGCTTGCCGCGGCCTTCGTGCGCGGCGACGAGCACACGCGCGACGTGCAGACACCCCACGCGCGTTGGGCGGCCCTAGAGGCGAAGCTGTTTCCAGGGATGTGCCTGCCCGACTGGCACTCGGCCAAGGCGCTGAAGGCCTTCCTCGCGGCCCACTGCGCCGAGCACGCCTTCCCGCTCCTGTGCGCCATCGGGCGCATCAGCCACGGTCGCGAGCCCGCGGCGCACATCGTGGGGGTCGACTCGTGCGTGAAGCGGTGCGAGGGGACGGCGCGACGCCCGCGGGGTCCCGGACGCTGCGGGAGACGCTGCCGGCTGCGCCGGCTGTACCTGACGACCCGGCTCGCAGACCGACGCGCCGGCATCGTTGGCTGCTGTGGCCGCTGCTCGCCGCGGTCGTGGCAGCGCTGCCGCTCCTCCCGGTGGAGGTATGGCTGCCGCACATGGACCTGCCTTCCGACGACCTCTCGAGCACGGCGGATCCGCTCCCGCCCTTGAGCCCGGCCGACGTGCCGTCCTTCCTGAACGCCACCTGCCTCAACAGCGAGCGCCGGTTCCCACTCGTGGTGAAGCCGGCCGACCGTGTCCGAGTGGGTTGAGCGGAACCGCGACATCGTGACGGGCTGGCTCGAGGCCTATGGGGCCGTGCTGATGCGCGGGTTCGCCGTCGAGGAGGCGGCGCAGTTCGAGCGGTTCGCGATGGCGTACACGGACCGGCTGGACAACATCTACCTAGGCACCTCCCCTCGCGAGTCCGTCAACAACTTTGTCTTCACCGCGAGAGCAGCCTGCCGTCGAGCAGCGCGCCGCGCAAGCCCGCCGCCGTCGACCCGATCGAGAGCTCGTAGTCATGGTAGCATTCAGCGCGCCATCTCGCCCGAGACGGCCCGCCCTGGCCCTGTCGGCCTTCCCAGACAGCTTGTCGAGGCTGTACAGAGTGCCGAGAGCATGCTGGGCAGGCTCCCGTCGAGCGACGAGCCATGCTGGCTCGTCGCGGGCCGCGAGCTCGAAGACCCGCGCGGAGCGTCGCCGAGCCTGGCGTGCCCGCCCGCACGCCCGCGGCCGCAGGCAAGGAAGGCGAGCTTCCTGGCGTCTATGCCAAGCGCTCACATGCCAAAAGACACCTCGCAGCGCGCGTGACGTGACCGAAGCGGCCCTCCTCGGCGCCGCGAGAGCAGCCGGTCGACGTCGGCACCAAGCGGCCGCCGGGCGCCTCCGAACCGACAGGGGCGCCGCGGCACCGGCAGTAGAGAGCACTCCACCCGCCATACCGTTGATTGAGGCGCCGTATCGACAGGTGTATTCTTTTTTTGCTTGGGCGGCCCTCATCATGAAATTCTGCAAAAACCTGACCGGCCCCTGCGGTGCCCCTACCTACCTACCTACCTACCTACCCTACTTATGGGAAACTAAAAAAGAAATCACGCGATGTGTGAACGTGGTACTATACCAACTAAAGTGATGGGTGGTGGTACTCTCCTGCAACCACAGTCCTTCCTGTGACATGGCAGGCCACTCTCAGGCCCTACATGCTACAAGCATCAGATCACCCATTTGGGGACGTTTGACATCGTGATTTTCCCGGAAATTTTCTTTTTCTGCCGTGAAAATTCCAGCGTGAAGAGAGGGGAAAACCCGACGGGAGGGCCCAGACCTACCCTACCTACCCCGTGATGAGGGCCGCCCAAGCAAAAAAAGAATACACCTGGTATCGAATCTAAATAATGTGTATTTCACAGACCTTGCAAACTAGAGTTGTTTGGTATTGCTAAAAATCTCTCTCAGACCTTGTTATTGACAAGAAAATACTTTCCTTTGCGCTGGTCTATGAGAGGTTGAGGTGCGAGCCCTGGAGGCCCTGGGGATGGGGGGAGACTACCCGCGGGCCTAGAAGGCCCGCGCGCAGGTTCACAGCCTTGTTATTGAGAAGAAAATACCTCTTATGGCGCTGTGCGCTGGCCTGTGAGAGGTTGAGGTGCTTCACAGCCTTGTTATTGAGAAGAAAATACCTCTTATGGCCTGTGTTCACACCGAGCAGCGAGGAGCGGCTGCGGCTCTGCTTGCGGATGGGCCTCTCCATCGTCCCGCTCCCAAAGCGAATCAAGAGCCGGAAGCACGCGAGGAAGGTGACGAGCGAGTACCACCGCATCACCGAGCGGCTTCACCACACCACGTCGAGCGACGAGCGCGCCAAGTGTGCTGCGGAGCTGCAGGCGATCGGCGGCGTGGACGCATACCAACAGGCATCCCAGTTCAACACCGCCCTGCACTCCACCAGCCGCTGGGTCGCGCGGCGGCTTCGCGCCCACGGCGTCCTCGCCGCCGGCAAGCCGCCGCCTCACGTGCTCGAGATTGGCGCAATCAACACGCAGCTGCTCGACACGCCGGGGCTGCACGTCCGTGCGCTCGACCTCAACTCGCAGGATGCGCGCATCGAGCAGCGCGACTTCCTGACGCTGCCTCTCGGCGGTGCATTGGAGGCAAGCGGCGCCTCGCGGCCGTACGACGCACTCGTCTGCTCGATGGCGCGCTGCTGATACAAACCGCAGCTCCCAGAGAAAGCCAGCGGTGGCGAGCGCGGCGAGGTGTGTGGAGTAGGTGCTCAACTGCGTGCCGGACGCGCGGCGCCGCTTCGACATGCTCGTGTGCATGCGGGGCCAGCTGCGGGTGGGCGGCCTCTGCTTTGTCGTGCTGCCCGGCTCGTGCCTCGCCCACTCGCCTCCACCCTCCCCCCTCACCCTAAGACGAGCCCCCCCTCACCCTAGGCTCGTGCCTCTCCCACTCGCACACCCTCACCCACGACTCGTTCGCCGACTGCCTGCGCGGCGTCGGCCTGGCCCCTGACCTTGCCGCCGAAACACCCGCCTCGGCCAAGCTCGCCTACTTTGAGTGTGCCGCAGGCGCGCACCGGCGCCGCCCGCCTCCGCTGACCCTCCCCGCCCCTGCTGCCGCCTCCCCGGCCCCTCCCGGCGAGTGCACCGCCCACCCGCTCTCGCCACTAGCCCGCCCTTCGCCGCCCACCCCGCCCAGGGCCGCCTCTCCCTGCCCGCGCAGCGCCCGATGACCCCCGCGTAAGCAGCGTTCAATCACGATACCGAATAGGGCTCCCGGACCCCGCCGCCGCCCTCCGCTTCCAGCGCGCGCGGCACGAGCGGCGGAGCGGGCACGGCTCCCAGCCGCCGCGCCGAAAGTCGCGCGGTGCCGACTTCGACGTCGACTTGGGAGGCGCCCTCGGCTTCGGAGAGCGGATTGGTGCGGCCCCCGCTCGCCCCGGCTCGCCCCCGCTCGCCCCGGCTCGCCCCCGCTCGCCCCGGCTCGCTGCTCCGGTCGAGGCGCCCCCCGCAGCGTGGCCGTGACGACTCCCCCCCCCCCGGCGGCAGGCCGCTCCTTCGAGGCGCTGCAGCCGAGCCGCGCGCAAAAGGAGCAGCGGGCCGCGCGCGCCGAGTTCCTGCGGCAGCTGAAGGAGGAGAAGCTCAATGGGGAGAAGGGGGAGGGGGCGGGGCGGGGGGCGGGCGGGCGGCAGGCGGCGGGCGGCAGCGGCGACGGTGGCGACGGCGGCGGCGGTGGCGACGGCGGCGACGGCGGCGACGGCGGCGACGGCCCGATAGGGCAGCTGGCGAGCTCGCAACCGTTCTGCGGCCGGCTCGACTTCGCAGCCTGGCGGTGGCGGCCGGGGCAGGGCGGCTGGCTCTTTGCGCCCGAGGCGGACGCCCTCGCCTCGCCCGAGCCGGCTTGGCGGTGGACGACCGCTGGGTGGGAGCACGATTGTGCGAGGGGTGCGGCGAGCGAGGCGGCGAGGGCGGGGGCGAGCGAGGCGGTGCGGGCTGCATCAGCGAGCGGCGACGGCGACGCACCCGCAGCGGCGCAGCGCGGCGAGGTCGCCGCGGCCGGCGCAGCGCTCGACGACGACGAGGAGGCGACGATGGCGGCGATGGCGGCGATGGGTCGCCAGACACGGAGGGCGGGGCGGGAGGAGGGGGAGTCGGCCTGACGGTCCCTGCTGCGCCCCTGTAGGGCTTCCGACCAGCTTCAAGCCGGGGACCGCCTCCTCGAGCGGCGGGCCGGGCGAGGCGTTCTCCATGGCCACCGCCCTCCGGGGGGAGTGCGAGCCACCTGAGCCGGCTCTCAAGCGGGCGGCGAGGCGGAAGCTTCAAGGCCGGGGCGCTTCAAGGCTGGCCTTGGCTCCGCTCGCGCCGCAGCGGCCGGGGCGCTTCAAGGCCGGCCGGCAAGCAGCACTGCTCGGCCGGCGGACGGGCCTCGGCCGCACCTCGCGGCTGGGCCGCCTCCCGAGCTGCCTGAGGTGCTGGTGGCTACCCTAATGCCTCGTAACAAAGCGCACGCCGGCCCCCCCGGTGGCTGGGGCGGGCGACCAGCAGGCGACGGGAGCGCCCAGGACGGCGGAGTTTTATACTGTCCGCTGTCCACTCTGTCAGAGAAACAAGAGGACACCTCACTCGAGTTTGAGGGTATAGGGTAACTCAGCTCTCAGGACGGCGGAGATTCATACGATAGCAATAGGGAAAAGGAGCAGAGGCCAGAGCGCTCTGGAGGGCGCCGAGACCGCGCCGCGCAGGACACAATCGACACTGAGGAGTCGATCTCCGCGTTCGACATACGCGATACGACCCAACAGTCGCGACCGAGATAGCCACTAGTGTGCGCAGTTGCTCGACTGGGTACGGTCGGACACCACCCGCTCTCGCTACCCCCTGGCGCGAGCGCCGGAGGGCTCGGCTGACACCCACCGCACGCGCGCGTGGAATGACCCCCCCTCTCCGCCGCCCCAAGCCTGGTGATGGCCATGGGAGGCCCTGCTTAGCGCCGCGCCCCTGCAGCCAAACCCGAGAGCTGCCCGTCACGGCAGTTCGGTCCCACACCCTCGCGGATGGCCCTCCCTGCGCCGCGGCCGAGAAGCCTGCGAGCGAGACTCCCCGGCCCGGGCACCGTCACTGCGGTGGCGCGGGCTCCGCTGCCGGTGCCGGTGGCGGCAACGGCGGTTGCGGCGGAGGCGGCGGCGGAGGCGGCGGCTCCCCCTCGCCCGCGGGCGGCTTGGGCGGCTGCTCGGAGGCGGGTGCGGCCGCCGCATCTGCTGCCGCGGGCCGCTTTGCTTCCTCGCTGCCGCTGCGGCTCTCGCTGCGGCGGCGGCGGTCGCGGTCTCGGTCGCGGTCGTTCGATCGCCGGGCGCGCCGGCTGCGGTCGCGGCTGCGGTCGCGCCGTCGCTCCCGACTGGCGCTGCGGCTCGGCGAGCGGCGGCGGCGCCGGTCGTAGCTGGGAGAACGGCGGCGACGGCGATCGTAGCTGGGAGAGCGGCGGCGGCGGCGGTCGCGGTCGCGGTCGCGATCGCGGTCGCGGTCGCGGTCTTGGCCGCGGAACTGCGCCCGGTCGTATTCGCGGTCATAGTCCTTGGTTTGGCGGCTTTCACGCTCTCGGCTGCGGCCGCGATCGCGGTCCCACCACCCGGGACTCTGACTGCGGCTCCGCGAGTCCTCTTCCTCGGGCTTGCCGCCGCTGAGGAGCCGCTGCAGGGCGGACGACTGGCCCCACGCCGTGGGCATGAGCTCGCCGCCTGTTCGCACACGTCAAGCGTGCAGCGTGCAGCCGTGAACAGTGACAGTCCCTTTGGCCCAGTCGATGGTCCAGTCCGAGCCTGACTGTTCTTCACTTACTACATACATTTGGTTGGGTTTTTTTGCGCGACAGTGGGCGCCTGCGTTGGAGCCTAGAGCCCACGCTTGGAGGCGGTGTGTTTGCGGGGGGGGGGGGCAGCTTTGGGCGGTCGAATTCAATTTTGGGGGGGTTTACGTCGGTTTTGGGGATCCTGCCGACGCGCTACAGTTGTAGCCCCACTGCACATAAGATGGACACCTCAAGGGAGGGCCCTCGCAGCAGCCGGGGCCGACGCCTGCAGCCTTAGTCTTGGCCCGATCCGGCGGTATGCCACGGGTAGGCGCGTTGAGGCTTGCCGCCTCCTCTGCGCCAACGCGGCCTGTGCCGCAGCTTGCGATTGCTGCCAGACAAGAGGAGGAGCAGAGCCGTTTGGCGATAGGGCCAGGCCCTGTTCACGCGCACGCAAGACGTGCAGACAGGGTGGTGCCAGGTGAGAGCGAATGCGGAATGGCGCGGTTCACGCCTCGCACAAA